TCTAACAAACTCTTGCCATTTTTTACAGTATATGCATAAAAGAGGACTACTTTTCCACTCTTCCAGAATATTCACCAATAGAGAGAATTCAAAGGGAGATAAAAATTCTCTCGCATTAGACAAATTATTTTCTATTTCGATTCTTTTACGTAAAGGAGTGCAGTAGAAAAAAGGGGATGCAACAGAAGACAGGGTCATTAGAAGCAGTTTTTACCTTCCAAACCATTTTCTAGTTGATTGCGAAGTCTTTCTAATCTGTAGCCTAAATCAGCATCTCTCGGTCTTCCGTTAACTTGATTATGTTCAACTACAAATTTAATGAAGAGGTGAAGAGAGCATTATCTCAAATGAAATCACGAAAAGCTCCAAGTAATGATGAAGTATCAGCAGCTCTATTGAAAGCTGGTGGTGAACCAGTTGTTCGCTGGCTCTATGAAATCTTCTCTGATTTATGGAAGGATGAATGAATGGTGGAAGACTGGAGTTTAGCCATTGTTATTAGACTATAAGGAGAAAGCAGAAAAACAAATATGTGATAATTATAGAGGAATTTCATTGTTAAATGTTACAAGCAAAATTTGTTCTCGTATTATTTTGAGCCGGATTCAGAGTTTGGTTGAGCGTCAACTTTCGGAAGCACAATCTGGTTTTCGAGCACATAGATCAACTATTGACCAGATATTTACACTGAAAATGATAATGGAAAAACGAAGAGTATTCAATAAACCACTATTTATGTGTTTTATTGATATTACTACAGCCTATGATTCTGTTAACCGTGATCTTCTGTGGAAAGTCTGTCGCAAGTATGGAATTTCAGAGAAACTTGTAAATCTTTTGAAAATGCTTTATAGGAACTCAAAGGCAAAGGTCAGAATTGAAGGAGAACTGTCAGATACTTTCTTGATTGAAACTGGAGTGTTGCAAGGTGGAATACTGTCACCGATTCCATTTAATATTCTGCTTGCTTTTATCATTAGGAAAGTTATAGAGGAGGCTGGTATTGATGGTGTTAAATTTTCGTATGGTAATGACTTCTTTCATGGCAATCGGGAAAAGGATGAAAACTTCTATACCCTGGCACTACTGTATGCAGATGATTTAGTTGTTATGTGTGAGACTGCACTTAATTTAGAGACATTCATTCGAACTTTTGAGAAAATAACGCAAGAATTTGGATTAACAATGAGTGTCAAGAAAACATGTATTATGACATTACAACAGTTTCAGGAAGATCAAAATCAAAAGATTTTAAAACAGAATGAAATGATCTTTCCTGATTTAGAATTACAATTCGAAACCAAATGATTGAAACTGTTGACTCTTTCACGTATCTAGGTTACAATGTCTCCAGAGACCAGAAACCAGAAATTAGCATTAGATTGAGTAAATCTGCCACGGCATTCAATATGTTTATATGTTAAGACATGTAGTTTGGAGTAGAAAAACTATCT